CCATCTACTTTGTTTCTAATTTGGATATTGTTTATTCTTAGATTAATTTGATCTGAGGATTTATTACCAAACAGAATATAGAAAGTTTTGTTAATGTTAAGAGTGAGTTTGTTAGCAGTTAGCCAAAGATGGACATTATTTAGTTCAGTATTTACTGTGACATTTAGAGCAAGAGGGTCAGGACTGGAGAAAATGAAGGTTGTCATCAGAAAATAAAATTGGTTTGAGGTGTTGGGAGGCATTTGGAAGGTCATTAATGTAGATGAGAAAGAGAAGGCCAAGTATACTGCCCTGAGGAACACCAATGTTGATGGGTAGGGTGGGAGAAATGGAATTATTCACAAACATACTGGAGCCTGTCAGTAAGGTAAGACTGAAGATATTGCAGGGAGTGACCTCTGACTCCATAATGATGTAATTTAAGAAGGTTTTGGAGGTTGACAGTGTCAAAAGCCTTACGCAGGTCCACAAATAACCCAACAGGGAACTCATTTTTATCAAGAGCTGCATGTATCAGGTTAATCATTCTAATCAGTGCATCATTAGTGCTCTTTTGGGTCTGAAGCCATATTGGCAAGAGCTAAGTATATTAGTTAGTGATTTGTTGAGGAGCACTGCAATGGCAGGAGCTAGAAATCTGGAGGCCTTTTTTTGTAAATTAGAGTTGGTATCTCAGCAAGGGCATTTGACTTTGTTTTAAGAGAAAGGATTATCTCATTTGACATCAGTGTGATTAGCGAGAGTTAGGTACAGAGACTCTGGACAGTTACCTGTAAGGTAGTTCTTAGCATTAGTTAGGGAAGATGGAATATCATTAGAAAGATATGTCCCAATGGATGAGAAGAACCGTATTGAATTCAATAACAGTGTCAGAGGTTGAAAGGACACCATTGTCATTGGATAAGAGTATTAGATTTTGAATAAAAAACCAATACTTATCTTTTATCTAATACTTTTGATCCTCATATTTGGGAAGTAGTGTTCCATGTTTTCTTACTGTTGCCCTTAATTTGGGTAAATTTATTTTCGTAGTATCTTATTTTAGCTCTCCTAATTATTTTACGCAACATTGATGAGTAAATCTCTGAAAATTCTTTGGAGACGACTCCTAACCGATACTTCTTCTCAAGGTCATGTTTGTTATTAATAGCTTTAAGTATACCCTTTGTAAGCCAAGGATTGTTTAACCTTTTAGTTGTGACTTGTTTTGTTAGCATAGGACAGTAGGTGTTATAGAGTTTTCTTAAGAAATTTTTGCACTGCAAGGTTGATGTTCACTGTGTTACCCAATTCAGTCTCCCAGTTGATATTAGCAGCAGCAGTTGCAATAAAATTGCATATAGAAGTTTCATTGTGCAGCCTAAAGCTTATCTTCGTTGTATCTAGAGATGGTTTGTTAATGTTGGTTAGGAGAAATGTGGGGTAATGGTCTGTGGTCCTATCAGTGATTATCCCTGAAGTGGAGAGGTTATGTTAGTCCAGATGTGGTCAAGAGCAGAGGCAGTACTATCAGTGATTCTAGTAGATTTATTGATCAAGGGTATGAGGAAGCAGGAACTCGTACAGTTGAGAAAACTAGCAGCATGTGGGTTATCAGGCTCGTAGAAGTCAATATTTAAGTCCCCCGAAATTATTAGATAGTTTTTGGTAGTCTGTTTGCTAGTATTAGTTGTCTAAGGTTAGAATTGAATTCAGAAACTTCAGTGTTAGGAATTCTTTAGACTGCTCCCACAGTCAGGACAGTCTCGGCACCCTTGACTCTGAAACTGGCAAAGATATACTCTCCACAGGAGGCTCTAGTTCTAATTACTTTTAAGCATGCCTGCAGTCTCCGTGGTGTAGTGGTAAGACACTCGCCTGGCGTTCCGCGAGCGCTATGTCATGGGTTCGTATCCTGGCCGGGGAGGATTTACTGGGCGCAATTCCTTAACTGTAGCCTCTGTTTAACGCAACAGTAAAATGTGTACTTGGATGAAAAAACGATTCTTCGCGGCAGGGGATCGTATTCCAGGGACCGTAGGATTAAGGACTTGCCCGAAACGCTACGCGTACTAGTGGCTGTACAAGAATGTAACAACTCTTGTATATATCTCAAAAAAAAAAAAAAAAAAAAAAAAAAAAAAAGTTCTTGGTGGTAGTAAAGAGCAGTACCACCACCTCTCTGAATAGGTCGACAGTTGTGAATTGCTTAGTAGTTTGGTATGTTAGAGTTGTGTAATATCCTCTTTTAACCACGTTTCAGTAAGCACAACAAAAAAGAATTTGCCAATTGTTTGAATTAGGGCACTAACATCATCAAAATGTTTGCTTAGAGATCTTACATTCAAGTTAATTACAGAAGCAATGTGTTAATACATTGTTTACATCATGTGCTGTATAATACCTGCAATTTTGATCATTAAAATGATGATTGTCATAGATGACAAGAGGTTTAGTTCCGGGTCTATACTAGTTTTCATAAGAGGGCTGTGTGACGGTAAAAAAGGTAATTATAAAAAGATCTAGATATAAAAAACTATACAAAAAAGGATGTAGATTGCTTTAAGGTACTCTCAGGTACACTGAAAGTAATAATTTACACTAAAAGACACAAAGCCAGGGGAACAATGGAGCAAGAGAGTATGGGTAGGATAGGCAACCTAGGGAACAGTGAAATACAGGTTACCTAGCCTGCACTTGGTGACAAGGGCGTTAAATAAGAGGAGGCTCAATTGAATGGGTTATGTCAGGTCAATCTGGTCCGACTAACTGATAGGGTTAGCCAGATCAGTCAAACCACACTGGGTGAAAAATGTTTCGAAGGTATCCTCATTTGAGATTGTAAACATTTTACCTGAAGGAGCTTTTCTCACTCTTATCATTCCATCTCTGACAAAGCACTGATGACACCCTGGTTTGATTTCCGGATTTGACGCAAGCGGTAGAAGAGTCTCTGCCTTTTTCTGGTCAAGAACTCGTTGATGAAAATCCACTTTTTGAGGATACTACTGAGTGGACAAGATCAGATTTTATGGACTGGGTGGCTAGCTTGAGGTGAATTTTTCTCTGGTTTTGTCCTGATGGATTCTTTTTCCTTACTCTGTAGGCAGCAATTATGTCTGTTTTGTTGAGATCACAACGCAGTTCGTCTTTTATGAGAGCATGTATTATATCAATACACTTCTCACCTTCACTTTCCACAGGAATGGCTAGAGACGACACAACAAGAGTCCAGCAACTTTTGCTGGTCTTGTTCATCCTGAGAGATAGATTGTTGAGCGGTTATATACACAGGCTTCATGTATCTGACAAAACGAACTAATTACAGTATTATTGTACATATATATTTAATTATAACCGTATGTTTAAATTACGTAAGTTATCCCTGTAGGCTACACATTTTTTGTTAAAAAGAAAATAGTCAGAGAAAGCGTTTTAGAGCGTAAACTATTACTAAATATGCTGTAACCATTTCATTTCATTATTTATTTTTCATTTTTATTTTTTACTTAATTTTATTTTACTTTTTTATTTTAAATAAATAAATATATTTTTGTTATATAGTAGATAGTGTTAGTAGATGTTATTAGTTTTGGTGATTAGTTTTGACTGCTGTATATAATATTAGTAATTATAGAAGCAGGCAATGGTATTAGAAACTATATTTGATTTATATCATTAGATAGTTAAATACCATACGAGTTTAGTAGCACAAGGTGGAGGGGCGAGGAAGTTAACTGGCCGCTCTAAGTGTGTCCACAGTCACCCATCGTGGGGCTGTGTGACGCCCTCTACTGCCTGTATAGTCACCCATCCTGGGGCTGTGTGATGCCCCTCTACTGCCTGTACAGTCACCCATCGTGGGGCTGTGTGACGCCCTCTGCTGCTTGTACAGTCACCCATCCTGGGGCTGTGTGTGACGCCCTCTACTGCCTGTACAGTCACCCATCCTGGGGCTGTGTGTGACGCCCTCTACTGCCTGTATAGTCACCCATCCTGGGGCTGTGTGACGCCCCTCTACTGCCTGTACAGTCACCCATCGTGGGGCTGTATGACGCCCTCTACTGCCTGTACAGTCACCCATCCTGGGGCTGTGTGTGACGCCCTCTACTGCCTGTATAGTCACCCATCCTGGGGTTGTGTGACGCCCTCTACTGCCTGTATAGTCACCCATCCTGGGGCTGTGTGACGCCCCTCTACTGCTTGTACAGTCACCCATCCTGGGGCTGTGTGACGCCCCTCTACTGCCTGTATAGTCACCCATCCTGGGGCTGTGTGACGCCCCTCTACTGCTTGTACAGTCACCCATCCTGGGGCTGTGTGACGCCCCTCTACTGCTTATACAGTCACCCATCCTGGGGCTGTGTGACGCCCCTCTACTGCTTGTACAGTCACCCATCCTGGGGCTGTGTGACGCCCCTCTACTGCTTGTACAGTCACCCATCGTGGGGCTGTGTGACGCCCCTCTACTGCCTGTACAGTCACCCAGGCCACCATTATCTTGGTCTTCCTGTATTACCAACGTCACCACCAACAGGGTGTATTAGGTGTTAAGACAGCGAGAATGTTAACTCGAAGGGTTTTATACAATTAACATTGAACTGTGAGAGCGTCGCTGTTGTGGTGCTCATATACCAGTTAACTTTTATGATGTTGACAACATTGAAATTAACGAGGACAAGGACAAGTCATTCGTGGGGAGGGGGGGGGGGGGATTTGGGAAGATAAATTAATTTTGAGGTGCGGTCATTATCGCTTGTCGCAGTGTGAGGACTATTGACCCAGTCTTCTGGATCAATATTGTCCAGGCGGAGTGGGGCTGTTCCTGTGATTGTGTACACGACACAAATGTGTTTTTAAAATGTCGAAATGAGGTGGCAAGTGGAAGCGGATGACATAATATTTTACTATGATGGAGATTGTAATTAGTGATGGTAACGATGTTGCTGTTGATAATTATGCCTGGTTTTGATTGCTTCTTACCGAGAGTGGATGAGTGACAAGTGTTGATGTTGTTGCAGGTGTTGCAGAGTACAGGTGTGAGGCCAGGGCACCAGGAGACCTGATGATCAACACCCACCTCGGTGCCGCCCTCCCCCGCCCGGCACCCACGCCCTGAAGAAGGCCTCCCACGTCCTTCTCTCCCTGGGCCGCCGCCTCCTGCTACTCTGACCTCTCCCGTCACCATGACGGAGGTGGTGCTGGACCCCGCCTCCCTCGCCCGGGCACACAGCGACAGTGGCATCAGCTCACAGGTATACTTGAAGCTTTTCATGTGTTGGTTCCTTGAGTACTTCGCCTGACTCCTGAAGGACTGTCTTGACTCTCTGAATGAGCAGGACGGGGGCTGGTAGCTGAGTGGACAGCGCTCTAGACTCCTGGACCTAGGGACCGGGGTTCGATCTCAGCAGCCGGCGAAAACAGATGTGCAGTTTCCTTCACCCTGATGCGCCTGTTACCTAGCAGTAAATAGGTAACTGGGAGTTAGACAGCTGCTACGGGCTACTTCCTGTGTGTGTGGGGGGAGGGGGAGGGGGAATTGCTAGTAACAGTTGATAGCAGTTGAGAAGCGGGCAGCAGGAGCAGGCCTCAACCCCCGTAAGCACAAATAGGTGAGTACACACACACACACACACACACACACACACACACACACACACACACACACACACACACACACACACACACACAAAACAAAACAAAAAAAAAATGAGACCAGAAGGCATGGCAGGATGTCTATAAATAGCCCCGATCTAAAAAGAAAAGCAGAGGTGCAATAGGTACGCTGAAAAAAAACTATCAACATCAGAGGCTAGAGACTTTTGAACGCTCTCCCTCTAGACATTAAGGATCATAACTGGCTGATTTCTGTTTAAAAACCTCGATAAATACCTTCAAAGGATACCTGAACAAGCAGGCTGCGATGGTCCACATCGACTACCCTGGTTAACCAGACTACGAGATAGAGATAACCATAAGGCAAGCAAAGGTACACTGGAGGCATAAGGTGGAAGCGAGTCCTTATAAGAAAGGATGGTAACTAGCGTGAGTTAAGACTCAGACCAGCAAAGGTGTACACCAGATGGCTCAGCTCCCTAACGCAGACGCCAGCCCTCAGGTTGTCGACGTCACGGAAAAGGAATATGCTAAATTACCTGAACCTAACCTAACAGAGGGTCTAGGAATGAAAAACGAGACAGCTCGCCAATCTTGCGAGTCGCTATGATTTACACCATATTATAACGTTGGGGGAGTTATACCTCAAAATGCTATGTACTATCCTAGAGGAGAGGTTGTCAGGCGACACTGACACGCAAGGGGTCCAGCAGCGAGCACTCCCACCTGGTGCTGAGGCGTGAGCCGCGAGTGAACAGGGGCTCACACTTCAGGTACTGGAAGCCTCACCTCCCACACCTTCAAGTATCACTTGGCAGCCTGGTGGCGAGGCTTCACGCGAACGAGTGCTTCTTTACTTAGAAATTGACCTTCTGGCGGCAATAAATTGCTGCTTGGTAATCATTTGAAGTGTGTAGTTGGTGGGCGTCTTGGGGGGGGGGGGGCGTGCTGGATATTATCCTTCATCGACCCAGGGAAGACCTGGGGGGGGGGGGGGGGGTGAAGGAGGTATGGGGTGAGTGAGTGGGAGGCGTGGAGCAGAGTGGTGAGTAAGATCCACTTGTCACTAGGGTAACGCACGTGGGCTGGACTGACGCTCTCACCTGAGCTCTTACCCGGGGCTCTTACGTGGGGCTCATATCCAGGGCTCTTACCTGGAGCCCTCACCTGGAGCCCTCACTTGGAGCCTCTTCACAGTGCACCAAAACAGTGAAGTGTGTGTTAAGAGAAAACCAAGTTAAATATTAATATCCTGAAAAGCGGAAAAGTTCCAAGTGAAAGTTGACAAGAAAATAAGTAAAAAGTTAATTCTTACAAACACACGTTTTCATTCGTAAGAAAAATTTCGCGCCTTAGAAAGTAATGGTCAAATAAATATCTAGATGGAAAGTAAACATTGACGAAATGTGGGTAAAATTGTTATTTATATTTATAAACCGCCTACCCGCCGAAGCTGTAAATGCCAAAACTGCTGAATTTCAAAATCAAGCTCCATAAAATCACGAGGAGAAATGGGGGAGGGGGGGAGAGCTCTGACAACCCACTGGCTCTCTGTCCTTGTCGAAGCCACTAGAGAGATAGGTGCCCTCAGGTAAATTCGGGTAAAAGTGCGTATGTGTGTGTGTGTTCGAGGCTGGGGACATATGCTTGGGGGTTAGCCTCGCCAAATTTTGCAGGGTGACTGAAGTTTGTCCAGAGAAGGTCGTCGGAGGTCGAGAACAACCCGATTCTTTGCATAAATTGGCAAATAACCCACTTCTCCGGGGGTGCAGGGGCAGTGATGAATATTAGAGATGGTGGTGAAGGGTTGGGAGGATGGTGAAGGAGAGGGGAGGTAAGGAAGGTGTGATGGTTAAAGTGATGAAAGCATGTAGCGAAGATGGCTACAGTAAAAACAGTGTAATGTTAAACATTATTGTAGCTTAAATGCATACCAAGAAAATCTGTTAGTGGTGTGTATACTTACAGTATAGATGTGCACCATCGTACATATATTAACGTACATGGACAATTAGAAAGCAGAATTTCGTACTATTGAATTTCGACGATGCTGAAAAGGTTTTATTGTTAATAAAACTTAACCTAACCATCTAGGCCTAATACACGCTATCAGAAGCCTAATATAGAACATGTGCTATAATAGGCCTAGAAATATTTAATTTTTTTTAGCTTAATTTTCTCAAAAATATAAAGTGAACAGTACCAAATTCTACCATCTAAATCTTCATTACATCACTATATATGTACGTTGGTCCACATAGTTCAAAAAAGTACTATCTGAACACGAGTCTTAGTTGGGCAACTAACACTAAGTAAAGGAGAAATCAAACAAAAAAACTAGACAGTTTATAATATATAACACATAAATAAATAAAAATAATAATAAAGCTTGTACATCAGGGGGCTGGCTTAGGCTCGTCCCTAAGGTAGACCTCTGACAGGCTCTCACACGCCACTTTAGTACGACGTTTCTCTGACGTTGGGACACCTCAGGAGGACGGGCTGCTGCACACACCCAGTGCCCACTACGAAGGGCGTCTCGTACACAATGGAATATCTAAATTGTATATACATAGATGGGTTTAAATAAATCACTGTTTAAATAAACACTAAACACCGCAATAAAATCGTTGTTTAAATAAACAACGGATGGCAGATAACTCTATTTACTGGAATGAGGATAATTGCTTTTTCCTGAAGATAGCAAGATTTCTGATAAATATTTCTTCTGCAGATAAGAATTCCCTCGTTACTTTAAGCTCTCAAATGTCAGAGAAATGCAAAAGAAAACTAATGAATTCCCAGGTAAGTGGAGACACAGATGGACCTTAGCATTAAGACAATGCTAAGGAACACTGTGAGAGCACAGATCCAGACACACATTTAACACAGAAGGAAGAGACTGAGCAAAAACAGGGATCTGAAAGATCTTCCCAGAAATCTACCAGCAAAGAGGGAAGGGAGAATCGCCAAGGGAAAGCGCAAACCGTTACGTCAAACCAAAGCAGTTTGTCGGAGGTCAGGATAAGGATTTGGGATGGGACGGGATTGAACGCCGACCTGCATAAGTGAGACAGTTGCTCCACCGTCCAGCCAAAATAGTGTAGTATAAAAACAAAGATAATCTAACTAAACATGACCTTGGAACCTGCCGGTATTAGGCATGGGGTGCATAATAATGTAAATATTGGCTCTCGGGAAGAAATAATGGAACACGAAAATATAACCGGCCAAAAAATTGCATAAATATCTTCAATACAGGTGTATCATGTTATAATTTTAAATTTTTCCACTCAAAAAAACTGCAAAAGTTCACTAAACAAGGAATGCTTTAACAGACTGTCCAGCATTTCTTGTTTAAAGAACCAAGCAACTAAACTCAAAAGGATGCCGTTTGAATACAGCAACATATACATACCAGGGAGATTTTTCAGTGAGAGACAAAGAAAGGCATGACATGTCAAAACTCTACCATTGACTCTGTCAAATGTTAGTCAGGACACAGATAATGTGGCAGCCCTACTGCACAGATAATCTGCACACACAAATAACATCACACGAGACAAGAAGGCATGACAGGATGGACAAAATATCGCCGTTGAAAAGGTACTCAGAGAACTCTATCGACATCAGAGGCCCGTGACTGTTCAACAGGCTCCCACTACACATAAGGGGCATAACTGGCCGACCCCTCACAGTGTTCGAGACAGAACTGGATAAACTCCTTCAAAGGATACCTGATCATCCAGGCTGTGATTCATACGTCAGGCTGCGAGCAGCCGCGTCCAATAGCCTAGCTAACCAAACCATTAACCAGGAGGCCTGATCAGAGACCGAACTGCGGGGACGTTTATCCTAGATATCGATGCTAGGTAACAGCAAGTCAAGATAACCTATCCGAGCCACAGAGACTAACACCAAGTAAAATACCCAGCACTTGATCATCTACAATAACATCTTCCGTATTTGCCGGCAAACAGGATTTCAAAACACACACAACAAAGTTTACTTTGTAACTGGCCTCTTTAATGAGACAAATGCAATGTTTACAGCTTTAACTGAAGCTCTCACACATGACTATTACGACAGAGAGGCTTCAGCGTGGGGTCAGCCTGTATATTAAATACACACTAACCTGCATGACCTGGAGGGAGTGTAGTGGGTGAGGCGGGCCCCTTGGGCAGGATTGTGAGGGACACCAACTACACTACTGTATCATCCTATGCAGATCACACTGGGATTTTCTGGCGAGTAGACAATATAGAGGACACGGCAAACCTCCAATCTGATGTTAATTAGGTCTTTCAGTGGGCCACAGAAAACAAGATTGTTTATCAAGAATAAGTTCCAGTTCCAGCTTCAGCGCTGTGGATACAAGGAAAATATCACAACGGAAACTATATTATTGAAAGGAAAACAACGTGGAAGATCTGGGAGCAATGAGTTGGGAAACCTTCTTTTTAATTTTAACTAACACAATAAAGTAGCTGTTACAACTTTCGAACCCCTCCGCCCACTCGCCCCCCATACGCCCACCCCTCCATCTACTCGCCCCCCATACGCCCACCCCTCCATCTACTCGCCCCCCATACGCCCACCCCTCCATCTACTCGACCCCATACGCCCACCCCTCCATCTA